CCAAGATTATCTTCTGTGTCTGTGTTAATTGGTTTCCCTTTTCTTTGTTGAAGAGGGTCTGTGCAATCCTTCTGCCTAGTCCGCCATCTTGCCGGAACTCGACCAATTTCCCCATATCCTTGCCAATATTTGTTATTTTGTTTATTTATTTATTTATTCTCTGTGTGTGTGTGTGTGTGTGTGTGTGTTTTATCTTAGCCATCCTAATGAGAATGTAATGGTATTTCATTGTAGTTTTGATTTGTAGTTCCCTTATGGCTAATGATGCTAAGCATGTTTTCATGTGTTTGGTGGGCATTTGAATGTCCTTTTTTGGTGAAATGTCTATTCAACTTCTTTGCTCATATTATTATTGGGTTATTTGTCTTTTTGTTGTTGTCAATGTTATATATATATTGAATATATGGCTATTGGATTCTTGTTGCATATATAGTCCTGTGTATGTTTTTAACAAAAAAATTTTAAATAATGCACCCCAAAATGCTTAAATGAATTTAGCCAAAAGCTGCAGAACATTTAAAAGTTCAGTTTGTGCTTTTTAGATATTAAATGTATAGCTATGTAAAACATTTTTTCTAGTAAAAATAAATACTGAGTTTTTGCTTTTAAAGGAAAAAAATATCTCTTGAAACCTATTTCAAGTAATGGATGAAGCATTGTTTGCATCTTGGTGCCTGGTATGACTTTCAAGATCTCTGTAATTACAAAAGGGAAAAACACATCTGTTTGCTTCCTAGTTGACATCCTAATCCATTTATTCTCACTTCAGCTGAAATTTTAGGCAAAGCTCCTTACTGATAATGCTGTGTTGGCTGCTGTCAAGTTGGTTCCCAACCCATGGCAACCCCACGCACAATGGGATTGGGCTGTTGTGATCCACAAGGTTTTCACTGGCTGGTTTTCAAAAGTAGATTGCCAGGCCTTTCTTCCTAGTCTGCCTTAGTCTGTTCAGCATAATAGCAACATGCAACTTCACCGACAGAGCAGTGGTGACTATGCATGAAGTGCATTGGTTAAGAATTAAATCCAGGTCTACCATATGGGAGGTGAGAATTCTACCAATGAACCACCACTGCCCTCTTAGAAAAATCTATTAATTCCAGGAAGCAGGAGCCTGGCTGCAGTCCAGAAGTTAGAATGGGACTGCTGCTCACCTCTCTAGGCTCCATTATTGAAAAGAGTAACTTCACACAACCTTGATCCTCTCTCCTATTGTTTCACTAACATCATGTTCCCAGGAAAATAATCAGAATGCAAAGTCTGAAACAAGGCAGGGCTTAGTACTGCCAGTGAGAATTTGTATAAATACCCTCAACTGCCCTGTCATTCACCAAGGGAATTCATGCATATTCAGCTCCCGGTATCTCTTCCCCTAGAGAATGAAGGACCAGGGGAGAGGACTTTCCATAACCAAAGTGGAAGGATGGCAATTCCTCCAAAGTTTTAGATTTCTGAGGCCATGTGTACAGCAGACCCAGCCAAGATCTCAGACAATCTCAGGTGATCATAATAATGTCAGTAAAATTCTAACACCATAGTGAATGAATTAACACCAAGCCATTCCAACATCAGCTCTTCTCAAAACGAGCTGGTGGAAGCACTCATAAATATGTAAACAGGCGAGATCAGGTAGGTCTAAAATTAGACTTGATCTTTTACACAGAGTGAAGTTATTTCTTGTCTTGAAGCACAAAATGAAGTCTGTTCTGGCAGGAAGTGTTAGCCCTTGAAAGAGGCCTCTCTCAGAATTTTTGCTCAGTTGTCCGCTTCTGAGCACCCCCAATGTCAGGCCCTGCATGGAGTAATAGCACCACTGCATTAAAGGGGAAACTCAACCAGGCTTCCAATAACTGTAACTCAAGCAGGAGATGAGGGCTGGGAGAGCTTCCATATGTATCATAAGTGTCCAAAACTTGTCCCAAGCCCTTTCCCCTCAAACCAACACAAAACTTTCTAAAGCTCCTAAATTTCCAGGGTCAGGACAATCTGTCTGCGGATCAAAGCAAAGCTGGCTAAAAGCCATGGAATGGGCAGCATCTAGAATAGGCCAGGCCAAGGCCCCATGCACACTGTAAAGGTTGGGGCTTATTTGATGTAGTGGCTGGGAGTCTTGCCTTTGGAGAATTTGAGTAACAGAAAATTTTTACTAGTTCTTGGTTGTGTAGTGTATAATTCAACTAAGAAATAGTGAGTATTTTCTGTTCCTTAAAAAATCTCACCATATTCTAGTCCTCCAAAAGTCAATGACATTCTCAGATTCCTAGACTGAATCAAGCATTTTGAAATTTCCTATAGCTTAGGAAGACAAAGCATCTTGGCAGTTTGCATTTTAATGTTCTTTTAGACTTAAAAATGGTTGGCAGATGAGAATGAATAAGTAGTCTCAGTACTAAGTCCCCAAACCCTCACCCTTTTTTTTTTTAAGTCAAGGTGTTAACATGTCTAAAAACTAATTTAGTCTTTAAAATATATATTATGAAATATTTCAGACATGCAGAAAAGTATGCAGAATAATGTAACAATCATCTCTTAACTCACTGTTCAACATAAAACATAATTCATACAGTTGAAGTCACCTGTGTACCCTGCCCACCTCATCCCAAGCAAATTCTATCCTGAATTTGATAGAATCATTCCCATTCTTTTATTATTCTACTCGTTTTACATGTTTTTGTAACTTCATATAGGAGTCCCTAGGTGGTGCAAACGGTTAAGCACTCAACTACTAGCTGAAAGGTTGGCTGTTCAAACCCACCCAGAGGCACCTCAGAAGCCAAGCTTAGAGATCTGCTTTTGAAAGGTCACAGTTTGGAAAACTCTGTGCAGCAAAACTTGGAAAACTCATGGCATCGCCATGAGTCAGAATCGACAGGATGGCAGCTAGTAACAACAACACACTTTACATAAATCATGTATGGATTATATGCATTCATTTCTAACTTTTCCCCTTCTACTTTATAGTCATTTGATTATCTACATAGATATATATGCATATATGTGTAACCTACATGATATCCTACTTGTCCATTACTAAATATTGCCAAATTGTTCTACAAAACAAACTAAACACTTCATTTAGTTGCTGTTGATTCTAACTCATGGTGACCCCATATGTGCAGAGTACAACTGCTCCATAGGGTTTTCAAGGCTGTAACTTTTCAGAAGCAGATCACTCAGCCTGTCTACTGAGGCCTGTGGATAGGTTCAAACTGCCAAACTTTCAACTAGTTGTCAAGCACTTAACCATTTGTGCTACCCAGTGAAAGAATTATTATTATTTCATATCTTTGACAAAGTTTGGTGTTATCAGACTATAATTTTTGTAGTATGATGTGTGAGAGGGCACTTTATCAAAGTTGAATTTACTTTTCTGGTTACTAGTGAGAATATGTTTATTAGCCATTCTTATTGACCAACTTTTTGGAATTGTCTGTTTATATTTTTTGCCCATTTTCTTATTGGGAGGTTTATTTTACTCATTGCCTGTAGTTCTTTATGTATTTTGAGTGCTAATCGTTCTCTTATGGGTATTGCAAATATCTCCCTCAGTCTTTGGTTTGTCTTTGTACTTGGCATGTGATAAATTTTGATGCACAGATGATTTCAGTTTCAACATGGTAAAATTGTATCAGTGTTTACTTTATGGTTTGCCTAATTATTGTCTAACAAATACTTCCCTACCTCAAGGTCATAAAGATATTCTCCAATATTTTTATCTAACACCCAATATTTTCACCTAACACTTCCAAGGTTTTCGTTTCATGTACAGTTCTTTCATCCATCTGGGATTAATATTTGTGTTTGATATGAGATGGGGATCTGTTGTTTTTCCATTCACAAAACCAGTGGTCCCAGCATCACTTGTTGAATAGACCATACTTTCTCATTGTCCTTCCAAGGCTGCTTCTGTCATATACCTAGTACTAGGCACTCTTAGTCCATTGGTTTATTTGTCTAGTCCTGGGTAAAAACCACATTGTCTTAATTATTTTAGGTTTATAAAAAGTCTTGACATCCGGTTAGCAAGTTCATATACATCATTCTTCAAAATTATTTTGGTCATTTTTCACACAATTTTATCTCCTTTTCTTGAATTTGTTCTGGGCTTGGTACAATTAAATGACAATAAATAGAAGGGGAAAATCAAGCCCAGATTTGCTCTGGGCAATCCATAAACTGAATATTTGGCTACCAATAGCTAAGAAATTGGTGTATAGTAATGAATATAGAAAGCCAGTATTATTTTAAAAAAGTTGTTTGCAAAAACAAAAGTATTAAAAAAAAAAATTCTGTGCTGTAGCAAAGGACATTTAAAAACAGAAACTGGAAAATAGCTTCTGGCTGTCATTATTCTTGCCTTTAATTAATTTTAAACACATTTTTGCACACAGAGTGACTGAGAGTTCTATGTAGTGCCTGTTCCCTGGATCTCCTAGAGCATTCCTAGAGCATTCCAGATCAGTAGTCAGACTGTCCCTATGGAAACACCCTGAGAACTCACTAATCCCACCATAACATGGGTCTATGAATGAAGTATTCTCTCTCTCTCATTCAAGGGAGGTTTTATTTTCCTGCAACATGCTCTCAGTAACATTTCCATAACTTCATTCATGATTACAACTTTGTGTTCTGCAGTGTCTTCAGATTCAGACCCTCTTATATGGACCACAGGACAAGAGGACCCTGGCCACCCAGCAGACCATGGACGTCCTGTCCAAGTGAGTTGGCTTTTCCTCATGATATTCCTCTGTCATTTCTTTGCTATTCATAATCTCACATGAAACTAGTTCTAGAAGGTTCTGAGATGACCTGTGGAAACTTTCACTAACAGACTTTTCATAACTCATAAACTATGCAAGGCCATTTCCTTTGAAAACCTAGTTGGGGAATACAGTCTTTGCCCAGATTTTTAAGAAGCTCTTGAATAATGTCACAAGCCCACACTGAATTTCATCCTCCCACAGACCAGCCCTCTACAGATTCACACACCCGCTAGAGGGACAGAACACAAAGCACATGCCTGGTCTGCTGGAGCTCTGCAATGAGCTGCCCTGAGCTTTTGAGTCCAGTGCTCTGCCATGAAGCTCCCCCTACCTCACAGTGCCTTTGCCTCTGGAAGCCCATGGCTGACTGCAAAAGCCATGCTCAAGAAAGCACTGCAGCAGCCTCAGGCTACAGTGCGGACACAGCCGGCCAGGGGCACTGTCTCAGGGCCTAGAATGTGAGCCTCTCCCAGCACCGCGCCACAAATCAACTCTGACCCATGGCCACTCCATGTACATTGGAGTAGGGTTGTGCTCTGTAAGGTTTTCTCAGTGGCTAACTTCTCAGAAGTAGATCACCTTTCTTCCGAGGCATCTCTGGGTGAATGCGAACGTCCTACCTTTCCATTAGCCAAGCCCATTAACCAATGGAGACACCTCCAAAACCAAAAACCAAACTCACTGCTATTGAGTCGATTCTGACTCATAGCGACCCCCTTTGGGTTTCCAAAGTGGTAAATCTTTACGGAAATAGATTGCCCACTCTTCCTTCCATGGAGTGCCTAGTGGGTTCGAACCACCAACCTTCTGGCTAGCAGTCAAATGCCTTAAACACTGCACCCTGCAGAGCTCCTTGTGGAGACACCTAAAACCAAAAAAACCAAACTCATTGTCGTCGAGTAGATTCAACTCATAGTGACCCCTCCTTGGGTTTCCAAGGTGGTATCTCTATGGAAGTAGATTGCCCAATCTTCCTTCCAGGGAGCAGCTGATGGGTTTGAACCACCAGCGTTCTGGTTAGTAGTCAACTACCTTAGGCACTACACCTCCAGAGCTAGTCCCTCTTAAAAGGGGAAGACCAGTCATGGAGCCCTCCAACCCCATCTTGTCAATCAGTTTTTGCCCATGTTCTGCTCACTAAGCCAGCTAAGGATTGTCTTGGTTGAGCAAAGTAAGAAAGCAGGAGGAAAAAAACCCCTGTGTTTTGTTTTTGTGGAATGATTCTCCTTTCATTTCTGTTTCCTCCTGTGGTTCCTTCACTAAATGTAGCTCAGTAACTGCTACCATGCCTTTACAAAAGCATGGGCTACAGAGGTGGCCTTGCACATCTCAGGAGCCCTCACCACCACCCTCTGCTTTCTTACAGGGCCCCAGAGGTTGCTGGGAAGCCAAGACAGGCTCAGAAAGCCAAGCCACCATTCTGCCCCATCATTCCTCAGCACCTTGTGCCTGGGAAGACAAGGGCCAATGCAGCTGACTGAACCATCCCACCACCCTAAAGAAAGCTTTGGTCAGACCTGGGTGCTTACATTAGGTTGCTGCATAAATCCCACTACAACTAGAAGATGAGCATTGTATATATAGGTTTCCAAGGCTGATGGTTTGCTCCAATATACAACAGTGATACCACAAACCTCCTACAGGCCACATTTTGACAGTGCTCCAGGACATCTGGTACTTCTCCAAAGCATTTTTCTTTTTACCACCTGAGTGGTTTTTCTTGCCAACAAATTTTTTTTTACCCATCAGCACAGCTGAAAGTCTTCCCTTCAAAAACTCAAAGCTGCCTGCACACAAACACAGGAACATAGACTCGGCATCTCATTGCACATCTAGCATCTTGCACAGGTCTGGAGCCATATCTGGAGCAATATGATTCTACAAAAAGCCTTTTTTATATGACAGTAGTAGGAACTGAGAAGAGGAACTGAGAAGAGAATGATAATAAAGGGGATCCTGAAGCTGCTGGTGTCTTTCGTGTGTTTAAAATGAAGCCTGGTTTGCAGTTTCTTGGAGTCTGCAAAGGGGTGCCAAGGGACATCCTTCATTCACATCTTCAGTAACTCATCAGATTTATTGAGCACCTAGTATGTACCAGGCACCATTAAGAACTGAGGGCCAACAAGACACACACAATCCCTGTCCTTTCAGAGCTTACAATCAATATGGACTTTATAGAGCCAACATATCGTAAGGGCATTAGTCCATGATTGTGACAGCACCTGTAAGACAGGAAAAGAGTGATAGTGGGAACTGACTTGGCCTCTGGAGCAGGGGAGGCAGGACCAGCAAGTGAAAGGCAAAGTGATGGTCTGAGGCTGGCATTGAGAGGTTGCTGGGGGGATTCCTGACTACTCCTTTTTACTCCTTCATGGCCACTACCATCTAGGTGGGGAGAAACTTGTGGCTGCTGCTTAAGCATCTTTGTGAGCTGGCCCAGCCTGGGCCCACAGCAGTTTTCAGGTTCCTGTAGGAAGGCTGTAGTCACACAGGACTAGGGAAAACTAGTGCAGGGCCGGGTTTGGTATTCTTCTGCATGATTCTCTTTGCTGATGAGACCAATTCTGGAATGAGGCAGTTGGAGCACCGACAGGATGGGGTAAGGGTGCAAGCAGTGCTTTTCCTTCTCCTTTCTCCATCTCTTGGCAAAGCCTAGGGAGGCAGCAGCCTGATCATACATGGACAGAAGGATGGCAACAGGATCTCTGCACCTGGGCCAGCCCCTTGGGCTCCCAGTAGGAAAGCATACCGCACTGGCTCCACCTGTGCAGGATGCCACCTTGGGAGTCGGTGGGGAAAGTGAACCACTATGGGCACACCTGACCACTAGAATGCCTGTGCTAAAATGACTCTGTAGAGTCTGCTAAGAGTGCTGCCTTCTGCCCTTGTGGAAGGCCAGGGTCTCTCTTGGCCACATGGGTCCAGAACTGAAGCCAGATGCCATGTGGGCAGTGAGGGGGGCCACTGGCTTGAGATAGCATAGTGTCCATGGACCCACAGTTCCACTCATTCACCTGGCCAGCTTTGTTCACTCTCAGTTCAGTACTCTGGGCCCACATTCCTTGTTCCTATGCCCTGTGGTTTATATGACAGCCTCTTTTTTGCTACCACTGTTAAGTTTTTCTATTTGTTTTTTATTGTGGTAAAAACACATGTAATATTTGCCATTTCAACATTTTTTACATGTGACATCAGTTACTTTCATGTTATGCAACCACCAATACTATGTGTCTCCAAATTCCTGCTGAGTTTTTCCCTTATATATTCTTCCATTTCCTTTATGTGATAGTCTTCTTTGACCACAGTGTTGCTTATTTCCTTTCTCCACTGATTCCCACTCTCCCTCCTTTTTCCCCTTGCTACCTCCAACTTCCTGCCCATAGCCACACCCTCCCCCATTCAAGACCCAGAAGAAATCCTCTCCCCCTTCCATCTCAGGAAGGCTCCAGGGAGGCCAAGTGAATCCCGTTAGGCTGGCCTTCTCTTTCTACCTGTCTGAATCAGGGCAGCACTTCCCGGCTTTTTCCTGCCATGGCACACAGATTTCTGTGCAGTATGCTTAGGTACACAGGAAAACCTGTCCAGCCTGGGGAGCCCAGATCCCACCTGGTCACTCTGAAAACTGAGGGAATACCCTGGTAACCCAGTGGTGCATGCACACTGTGGGTCCATGGACACTACGCTCTCTCAAGCCAGTGGCCCCCCTCATAGCCCACATGGCACCTGGCTTCCGTTCTGAGCCCACGTGGCCAAGAGAGACCCTGGTCACCCTGAAAACTGAGGGAATAGCCTGGTAACCCAAGTGGAGCATGCACACTGGCTGGGAAGTTCTGAGTGAAGGCTCTTAGGTTCCAGGAACCAAATGGGGATAACAGACAGAAAAGAGTATTTATTGGGCAACTGCGGGACAGTTATCAGTGGTTGTTGTTGTTGTTGTATGTGCCTTCGAGTTGGACCCGACTCATAGCGACCCCTCCTTGGGTTGCCGAGGCAGTATCACTACAGAAGTAGATTGCCCCATCTTCCTTCTGAGGAGTGGCTGGTAACTAGGTCAGGAAGGTTAGGTTCCAGGGCAGGTGTCAGCAACAAACAAACAATGTCTTCAAAGGCCACTAGCAAGAGGGAATTTCACCTCTAAAGGTTTAAATTTCTGAAAGTGTCTCCCTGGCCTACCATGGCTGGTAGGTCTTGATCAACCATCCCCCCCAATGAAGCATGCAATGGGAGTGGTGTTCCCCTAAGGGGAAAATAAAAGTACAGTTGCCAGAAGAATACTAGTTAAGTATCTAAACAGCAGGTGGCACTATAGTGCCCTGTCCTCTGTGTAGTGCCCCATTTGCTGTCTGGCCCACTGCTTTCTGCCTCCTGGGAAGCAGAAGGATATGATGTGGTAAGGTTGACTTTTCTCCCTTTCCTACAAATGATAAATTGTTGTTATTTGCCATCAAGTCAGACCCGACTCATAGCGACCCCTCCTTGGGTTTCTGAGGAGGTATCACTACGGAAGTAGAGTGCCCAACCTTCCTTCTGAGGAGTGGCTGGTGGGTTTGAACCACAAGCCTTCTGGTTAGCAGTCAAGTGCCCTAGGCACTATGCTACCAGAGCTCCTACAAATGATATGGGGGTGGGGGAAACAAATCACTAATTGTAAACTTTATTATTCAACAGTGACTAAGGAGAGAGAAGTAAAAAGTGCACACACATACACCTTAAAGCACCGGGAAGATGTTAAGTGCATAATTAAATGACACATTCCCCATACTTCTAGCAACAAGCTTCTGCCCAGCCTAGGTTCTTCCTCAACAATTTGTTCTTTTTATTTTTTTTTTTTTGTCTTTTTTTTTT